TCTATCTATCTATCTATCTATCTATCTATCTATCTATCTATCTATCTATCTATCTATCTATCTATCATCTAGCTATCTCTTCTTGCTTCATTGTGTCCTCAAGCTGAAACTTGGTGTCTATCAGGTAGATGGGCCAAGGATGCTTGGCCAAGCACAGTGGGGGATCAGGAGACTTAGAAGTGGGCAGCGTGACAAGGGGAAGGCAGCTTATGGCTACCTTTAGGCATTTCATTGCAAATGTGCATGCTTGCATGAAAACTGGTCTTTAAGTAAGTGCAAATGAAATAAAGGAAAAGTCTATCTTTTTTTCCTTCTTCTTCTCCCTTTACCTCTAGAGCAAGTTTTATGCCACAACACAGTTTCCAGGAGCCCTAAAAGAAGACAAGGAAGGGTAAGTTTGGGTACCTGGTGCAGAGGTATATTGATCTGCTGGAGAAGGGCTTTCATTGCCATCTGGAGCTCGTAGAAGAACAATTGCACGGGGCAGTCAGAAGTATGATCCACACTTTCCATATATTCAGAGCCAGAAAGCTTTTGGATCCATTCCCATTCCTCTCTGTATGTTGAATCAAGTTAAAATTAGAAATATTAAAAAAAAATTAGAAATATAACAAAAATTTCAGAACACAGCTTAGAACTTGCTTCGTATACATGCCCCGCACCTGGGACTCAAATGCTCAATGCAGTGCATGGCACTTGAACTTTTTGCCACCTATTATGGGAGCTTCCCATTAGCCCTTTGCAATTTCAGCTCCGTTCACCCATCAAAGCTTATCGACCTCAGAACAGCAGGTCTAACTTGTGTGATCTGGTCCTTGATATCGGAGCTTCCAAATATTTTGGTACTAATTTCCTGACGATCCTCACTATTTGTCCCCTGCAGATCCTCAGTAAGTCCCAAGACCCTGCATGCTACCGCAGTGGCATCAGCAGTTGGGAACCCGCGGGACGCTGATCCAGCTCCGGCAGCAGACCCCACGGCACACTGAAGGGCCTGGCCTGTTGTCATCCAGGGGACTATTTTAGTTTCTTTCCACTCCCAGAAGAGGAACACCAGACAACATCACAAACAGGGACACCAGACAATTCCAATAAAAGGCGCCAGGGGACACACATGCCTGCTCCCGTCCTCTTTACACACCAGTCATCTGCATCTTTGTTCTGTGTGTTCTATAATCCCTCCTCATGAACTTTGCCAAATGTCATGCAAAAGGGATGGTGGTGGGAAGAGAACACATCTGGTTTGCTCCCCAAAGGCCGCTCTTCCAGAAGAGTTTGGACAGATCCAGGTAAATGCCTCTTGGGCAACATTGTTTCCACAGGTATTTTAGCACCAGTATCTAAACACAGTCGTTGGCCCAGTTTCTCTTTCTCCACACTCTGCAGAGAGCATCGGGGCTTAGCTTTCCTGCTCTCAGGGGATGCAGAGGGAGGAGGTGCTGACATACGTTCCCACTCGGGTGAAAACCCGCTGAGGTTTCTTTCCAAAGCCTTATACCAGTCTGGGCTCCACTCGGTGGGTCAGAAGGCGAAAGGGAGAGTGGCGTATGCTTTCCATGCGGAAACACTCTGAACCCGCTCCCCCCCTATTCCCTCCGAAGAAAGGCTGCTTCCAAGGAGCTATCGACTTCAGCCATCCCAGCAAGGGGGGGCTGGGGGTGGGCTCGCTCCAAACTAGACTTCGACTCCAAGCTGACCTGCAGTTAGTTGGCTTCAATCATAACTGAGAACCTCTCTTGGAGATCCTGCGCGGGCCTGATTTCTTTTCTCCCATCCCTGAGGTTTCTGAAAATCAGGGCTTCCTGACCAACAAACGCATACAGGAAACCTTAAGGACCAGGTTTCGAAAATAAGGGCCTGTGACTGAATTAGGAACTACATACATGAGCAACAGAATAACAAGAAGCACCCAACATTCACTGATCGGCTTGGGCTAGAGAGGGTGGGGGATGGGATTGGCAGTGAGGGCTGCTGCTGGAATCTTGTGTAAATGGAACTTGGGGCTTAGCCATGGGCAATTAACATGGCCTCTGAAATACGGAGTCTGAACTCCTGAGACACACACCTGGCTGAAAGTCATCCTTGCTTATCAACACTCAGCCCAATCAGCCAGGGGACCCGCGGGGGAAGGTCTGAGGTGATGTCGTGTTGATTGTAGCACTGGCCAGCAGATGGCAGACTTAAAGTCTAGGTGTGGTTGATAAGGGAAAGGAGAAGAAAATATGGCCTCCGTGTGAGTTTTCCTTCGAAGGACCATCCCCATCCTTTCCTCCGACGCCACAAGCAAGCATTTACTTAAGAAACGTCAGGAGACATCATGCACTTTTGCTACCACTTGAGATGCCAGGTCGTAAATGACCAAATCAGAGTCCTTTGGTTAGGCGTGTCTTCGCGTGCCACTGAAAACGGAAGGTCTAGTTCATCATCTTTCAAGCTGGAAGACGGCTGGGAAGGTTGTTTACTCGTCTTTTCTGTCCCTTCCTTTTCTGTTTGTTTCCCTTCAAGGTTGCGCACAATCCAGTTCAGGATAGCAGGCTTAGGTTATAGCCTGTTAGGAGGGCTCATTGCAACGTGGAGCCAGATGACCAAGATTGGGCAATTTTCCCACAGCTAGGCCAACCCAGAGAGCTGAGCATCCAGACCCCCGGCTACGTGACTTTTTCTTCCCTAGAGAATAAAAAGGAACGTAGGCAACAGAGAGTGGGGTGGGGGCTGGGGGTGGGGTGGAGCGCGCGATCCTGGGGAAGGTCCCTTCAAATGAGGGGATCACTTGCTCTGTCAAACCCATGCCCATAAATAATGTTTAGCGAAGTAGAAGAACGTGACCATTTTAAGATGGTGATGAGAGATATTGGGAATTGCTACATTGAAATTACAGTCGTCTGTCGGTTCACCAGTTGAATGTCAGTGGCTGAGCCATGGAGGGAGCCGGGAGGAAAGTCACATGAGCTCTGTCATGGGCTTACTGGGCCGGCCCACCAACACCACCATTCTCCTCATTCCACCTGCCTAGTGTTGAGACCCAGGCTTGGCTGAACCATGTGCTCATGCCTGAGAGGACTGCGCCATAGGAACCATACTGGGAAGTCAAAGGCTGCTGCTTCTGGCTCCTCAACTCATCCCCTGGGGCCATGGTTGCAGCCAGAGGAAAATCCAAACTGGAGAAAACTTACTTGGAAATGTTGTTGTTGTCACGGATCTTCACGTGGCAGAGGATGTTGGGCAACTTTTGGGTGACGAGAACTTTGATCTGATCCACAGAACTACACAGCTTTAGGTAACCCAGATATAATCCAGGAGCGAGGCGCTGATGGCTCCGTTTGTGATAGGAAAGAATATCCTGTAAGGTGAACATAAGACACAACACCAGTCTTAAAGGGCAGTCTCAGAACCTTTTCCTCCTCAGGTGGATCGCGGATCGTGTCAGGAATCAAAGGAGTTACTGTGAAATAGATGGGCAGCTTGGGGTACCGTCATGAATGTTGGGGAGTCTTTATTGGTGGCACAGCTACCCACTTCAGGAGAAGCCTCTTTCAACCCAGGCAACTCAATCGGTCCTTAATACTTACATTCTGCATGCAAATCCTGTGGCTCTCCATGTGCCGGGGGTAGGTGTGAGGACTGGGATTGAGGGTGGGGAGAGCGGGAAACGACAGAATTCATACTTTCTACCCTTGAAGGTCTTAATATTTAATGTGGTGAGAACAGACATCTCTGGTGGTAACAGCTGACAATGGGGAGTTTTCTCATTATCTCAGGATAATTGGTACCAGGAAAAGTCCACTTAAAATAAGGGTTAAGTCGAGGGGACTCCCTGAGATCGTCCTTAGACCTTGAAGGGAAACTGTCCCCTGAAGTCATCTTTTAGGGAAACAACAGTCTGGTACCCACAGGAAAGGACGTTATCTGCGTATGGTGCTCTATTGAAAAAGCATCTAGATGAGACCAAAGGGTCAAGTTCTAAGGGAGCAGGGCCTCTAGGACGAGAGCTGGCACAGTAAGAAGGCAGTTAAACAGAAGCCATTAACACCCCGCGAAGACATGGAACAAGCACCTCAACAATTTGTGTGGAAACCGACAGATGTTGTATAAGGCTATTGCGTAAACATTCACTAAATTTGTTGTGTCAATTTAACCCCAAGCACAATGCGACATATTTTTTAAAATGCAACCAAATAAAGTGAGATCCGATTTTATAGTAAATAGGGAAGACAAGGCTTGATTCTTTATCTTGAAACATGAAATGAAAGGAATAACAATAGGCTTATTTGATCTGAACAGGACTGAAGGTGTAACTACCATGATGACTGAAGCCCGGGCATGAAGATAACACGGATCATGTGCAGCTTCGGGCTGGGCTGCGTCCCTGGGCTCTGGAGTGACATGCCTCACCTGTCTTTCACAGTGGGTCACCTGACTTTCACAATGGGTCACCTGACTTTCACAATGGGTCACCTGACTTTCACAATGGGACGACAAAGAGAAGAGCATTTTTGCAAAAGTGTTGGAGCATCACCTACATGTTTTTTTTTTTTTTCTTAACCCCTAGCATCATTTGAAATCTTGATTCTTAGTTATTTGTTCAGGCAGCTTTTGCTGATGTTCGGTTCTCTGGTTGCTGATTGGTCTCATTGCTAGGTTCCTAATTGCCAGCGACGCTGCATGTTCTTTGATTCGGTCTCCACGACATCTATACCACCTTCACAAGATGGTGTGTCTCTGAAAAGATTGAGCATCTGGTCCTGGCGTCAGAGTGCACGGTTCTATCACGTCGGAACACGTCCCAAGCAGTGGGCACAGATGCACGCAGGCATGCCTCCAGCAGCAGTGTCACAAGAAGTGCCAGCCGAGTGACCACAGAGGGATGTTCGAGGCGAATTTTGTTCTCCACGGCTGAGTCCTCTGGTCAATGATCTGGGTTATGACCTTTGCTTCCTTACACAACGAGAGCAGTGAGTCGTTGAAAATCAGTTATATAAATAATGCGGGGTGGAAAGAGGCACGCTCCCACCCGCCCCCATCACAGAAGGTTAGGCTTGTTTAAGCATATGAGCAGTGGGAGACACAGTACAGAGTAATGAGCCAGGAACGCCGTGATCAGAGGTGTCTGGAGGCTGGAGTTTAAGCTGGATTTTGTAGGGGCTACAATGAAGGAAATCCATTTTAAATGCAGAGAAAGCCAGGAATGAAAAGAAAATCATAGTGATGTGAGCAGAATTATGGAGGGCTCTATGAAGTCTCCCTTGACTATTAGACTCTGAAGGAGTGACCCCCCTCCCCATTGCCAAGCTACAAAATGAGTCTCCTGTACCATCTGACATGTGCTACCACGCATCTTCTTCTCTGTCCCATTCTTTATCAAACACACCCTGTGAGCCTGTGATGGCCGGAACTATGACAGACACGGAAGGTTCATGGAAACATCATATGACCCCTGCTTTTGTGGAGGGCAAGGGAGACAGGTACCTGTTAGCAAATGATCACAACAGGCACACAGGGAAAGGAATATGAGAGGGCACCCC